AGCAGATCCAGCTGGAAAGCAAGAGTGGAAATAAAACTTGGAAATTCATACCATGCTTTGAAGTCTGCTTCTTTCACAACCATAGGTCCCCCATTCACCCCAACCATTCTGAGCTGTTCTTGCTTGCTGAATTTATTTTAAAAGAGACACAAGCCACACACTTGCATATAATCTTTCAAATGGACTCCAGCTTTTTGCAGGGATGGTTTGTTAGGGAATTTGAATCCCAAAATACTTTCTCTTGCACATGAAATCAGTCCATCAACTCCTGACTCTAACCAGAATAGAAAGGCTCCCAGCACTAAAACTAGAAACTACTTTTGGTTCTAGTAAGCACTGCTTTTTTCTTGTGTTCTTTCCCTGACCCTTCCACGTACTTTTAGTTTTCATGTACTATAATCTGTCAAAAGCTATTAATGCAGATAGGAAGATACCAATGTGCCAGGTGCTGAGAATACCAGGATGGCAGCCTAATAGCGTCTTCCTTCCTATGAAGCCACCTGGAACTCCTGAAGTGGGCCATGTCACCACACTGAAGTAACTGTTACTCTGCTAAAGCATCAGAAGAAAATTAAATGTCTAGATTGAGTAGAGCTTCAATCTGTGCAAGATTGTAACTTGCTACAATCTTACTAACTGTGCCTGGTAAATGGAGACTCAGCTAGTTCTCAAATCCCAGGCAAATTCAGGATAGGATATGCCCTCTTAGGCCAGTTGGACTTTTAGATATTTTCYTTACTGACCACTATAGGGAACAGAGAGAGAGATTCCTTATGACTAAGATTTGACTGTCCTTAGTATTTTCTATGATCACAAGAAAGAGCTGGCAAGGGCTAAAAAACAAAACAGTTACAGTCACTGAGCTCCATGATAACCCAATAACTCCATGATAACCATAATAACTCCATGCTGGAGTTTCTGCCAACAAAACAAAAACTGAAGAAGAAAATAGTTTGAATAACAGTGTCTGGTCTAGAACAATATAAAATATGAAACCCCAAATCCTTATTTTGGCCCCATCTCGCCTGTTACATGATAAGTTGGATGAACAGAACATTCCTAGTTTTTGCCAGCTTTGACATTATAAGTTCATAAGGTGGGTCTGAAAATCAGGAGCATCCACCCATGAATGAAATTTTAACTCTGATTTATAGAGTGGGGAAAAATAACCTTGTGGCTGATATTGTCCTAGTTTAAACAAATAAAATTACCAAGATCTTCAGAAGTTCTAGCATTGATATTTTTGGCATATCTATAACTCCATGTACTACTGTCTATTTCTTACTCTATACATTTCTGGTCTTGTCAGTCTATCTCTTGTTCTCTCTGCCTCTCTCCAACATAAACAACCAGAAGTGTATGCAAACTAGTGTGAGAAACACACTTGGGATGGGGGGACTTTGGTCAGTTTGCATTAGTCCTAGAAGTTCCATTCTTCTAAATAAATGAGAAAGTTTGTAAATAAAAGGCTACAAACTGATAAGCATACAGCATAAATGAAGAATTATTTTAACTAAATAGGGAAAATTCAATTTGCCCCTTTAATTCTTCTCAAGTCACAAGCTCTGGGGCAGGAAAAACATGGAGGAAGTCCTTTGCCTTTGAGGTCTTCTCCCTTCTGTAGCTCTCCCACCTGGGAGCTGGATAACTCAACAGTGGAATTGAACCTAAATGAAGGATATCATACCATAGACTTAAGCAGTGAATACTGGGTCTACTTAATCCAAGCAACAACCCAGTCGCAATTTTAATAAGGGTGTGGGGTGGGGGAGCAAAACAAAAACAAAGAACTTTCAACTTTACAAACACTGGGAGGGCAACAGCTGGTCAGCTGAGATTAAAGGAGCGTGAGAGAGCACCTCCCCATCTCCTGATTTCTCCTCCCCTATAGACGGCCCTGTAGCCAGCCAGGGTTCACTTTTACAGCCCTGTGCAGATGACCTTGTTCCAGCTAAGATAGGGGCTCCTTTGATCTCAGCAGGGGGATGCTCTGGTCCTGCAGCTGGCAGATATTAATAGCACAGGATCTGCTGGGGTAGAAGGATCTCTCAGTTGGACCAGGTCACTTGTATTCCCTCCTCTTCGTCAGAGCAGAAGGAACTTCATTCCCTGAATCAGCCCCTGCTGGGTACTCTCCTTAGGTCAACTCAGATCCTTTTACTGCTCTTGCTGCTTGTTCTCACCCTACAACTGTTTTCAAGGGTATACTGCTTAAGCAGATCCTCTGCTCTGCAGCTGAAATCTATTATAGTACTCTCTAAATTAGAACTAAACCCCATCCATGGGTAGATACTCTTGATCTGCAGACTCACCTCACTATCTGATAATGTTACAGGAGGAAAAGACTTGAGCAATCATTTATTCATCCAACCTGTGGCCCAAAGTGATTTAAAAACATGCCTGAGATCAGGTCACTTAACACAAATGCTAAGCGGATACAATAAATGCTTGAAAAAAACAAAGCAATTTATATTTTATATGATAGATATATGTCACATAAATACACATCTCTCTCTATATATATTTGTACATATATATACATACATATATATATGAACTTAACTAGTGCAATAGTTGAGTAGATATAAATGTTGTAAGAAATTTGTTCATTTTAATTCACTAGTAAGTAGCTTCATTATAGATCCTAGAAAAAATATTTCTATATCCTCTTTTCTGTTCAGCTATATAAGAATAAGAGCTAAAAACAACAACAACAAAACCCAATTGTTTCCTTTCTCCCTTGGATTTCATAAGGGCATATTGCCTAAGGATGTGCTGGTAATTCTCCCTCTGCTAGGAACACTTCATCATCTTCTTATAGCAGTCACACTCAAGTACAAAGCCATTTCTTTTGTCTGTTTTGCTCCTCTTCTTTTCATAAGATAAACCAGGAAGCCAAGATAAAGAAAAGTGCTATAACTGATTTTCAAATGAGGAAGCAAGACATTCTATTCAGGTCTCCTCAGAGTGGAACAAGTGTGCACGTGTGTGTGTGTGTGTGTGTGTGTGTGTGTGTGTGTGTGTGTAATCATAATAAATTTTAATGCTATTCTCAGGTGTTTTATGTGATTCTCATGGTTCTTTCAAAGTATTTACTATGATATTCACTGAGCATCTATTTACTGCTTTCAATATGCCTAGAACTTTGCTAGGAATTGGGACATCACACGCATACAAAACGAACATGACATAGTCTTTTTCCTTAAAAATCTGCCAGTTTGGTCAGAAAAGCATGAAAAGTTAAAGTCATTTTTCTAGGCCTTATCCTCACACAGCTGAACAAGTAGAGAGAGAAGCAGAGAAGAAGAAAGTAGTGAGACCAGCTACACAGGCAAGAAGACTCTGCAAGAGACAGTCTTGAAGCCTTGAAGGAATGAACTTGGGAAGAGAAGAAACGAGAGAAGTGAACAAGGGAAATGCTACTCTAGATAAGGAGAGTGATCTCTGCAAAGGTGTGGAACCAGGAGTGGGAAAGGTCAGCCAAAAATCAGCACCAGAAGCACAGGAGTGCCCCATAAGGAATTGGTGGGAACTGAGGCTGAACAAGAAGGAAAGGACAGACACTAAAGGCTAAGAAGCATTAATTTCATCTAGTGGTGCTCTGGAAACTGGYCCACTCAGAAGAGAAAACATAGGAGTTTTTTGTATTTACTGACTCTTGTGGTATAAATACTTCTACCCTGATGATTACAACCCCRAATCCCTGAATAATTTTAAATTGACTTACTTATTTTGTCCATTCTCAGAAAAGACAATTCCCAGCTTTCTAAGTGGGAGAAAGACATGGTAGAAAGAAATCAGATTGGGGAAGTTTAATTTGGTAGCAGCAGAATGAAAATGGTAGAGACTAGAATTGGCAAACTCTTTTGGATTAAAAACTAATCCAATCATGAGTTTAATAAGCCAGTTGTTCACAACATAAATTATTTTTAAAAGGGAGGAAAGATATATTTGGATAGAAAAGCTAAAGAGGATGATGAAAAGTATTTGAGGGAGGAAGAAATCTGGATGATTCAGATTTTCAGCCCAGATGGCAAGAGAATGATAATGTATTACTAAAAGTAGAAAGCATTTTATAGCTTTTATAAATTTATATTTTATAAATATGCTATTAGTTTTCACCATGAAAGATATCAGCAAGAAGCAGGAATGATGTTCTTGCAGTTTCTGAGATCATAAACCAAGGCCCATCCACAGAAGACCACCTGGGCAGTCAGGAACCTTGCTAGGCCTAAAAATTCCCTATAGTCCATTATGAAAAATTCTCAGAAAGTGGAAAGGGAAGAAGGACCCATAAGAGCTCTGCATATCTACCCAGGCCTACAACATTGTACCTGAAATTCAACTTTGCCTAGAAGTCAGAAATGTCAAGTAAGAACATTCAATAAAACTAGAAACTACTATCTGGCTTGCTGATATAATTCCTCTAGCTACTTAAAGCTCATTCCCATCAAATATATAGCCAGCCTGACCTTTGCTAGCAGAAAATTTTTCAGGTTTACCACTGTGGAGATTTTTTCTAAAACTTCCTGTAAAGTTTATCAGGAATCCTACATCTATGGCATAAGAAATTGCTCTACACTTTTAGCCAGGCCAAAAGTACTCAAGACAAACAAAAGGCTAAATTGCTATGGGGCTGTTAGTAAAGCGGACCTTTGAGTGTGTGTCTCAGAATCAAAATCATTTATCAGTTTGCCAGACCTCCTAAGGATCTGAGACAACCCACAGAAGAACCATCAGCCTCCAGATGGAGATGATGGATGCCTGTGAAGATGATTCACTCAAGTGAAAAAAGGAGCTCACTACAGAGGTGGGGGCAGAGACTCCAAATACAAACAATCAGATACCTAGAAATGTGGCTAAACCTAAATCGCCAGGCTTCAGCTGGCTTCACTGGCCAGCACCCATTAGCCATGTCTCCAAACTCTCAACAGGAGGCAGGGAGGCTGTGGGATGTATGTCAGTGTCAAGTTTCAGCCTCTCCAGGACAGATACCTTACCTTCAGACAGGGACAAATCATCAGCTGGAGACACCAGGTCTGCCTGAGAAGCAAGGGCTCTGCTCAGATGGGTTGTAATTTGATTCGTCAGGATAACCTGTGAACAGACAGGGAGAAGGGAGGGGGGAAGGGAGAAGAAACAGAGAAGACCAAATTAATTATTAGAGCTATCCAAAAGCAGACTGTAGTTTAGGAGAAGACTGATAAGTACCTATGTAGGAAACCCCCAGCTCTAACTTTCACCAACTTTATCTTCAGGCAGGGCCTACAGGTCATTCAAAACCCAGAAATCTGAGAAAAAGAGGGTTACTTTTTTTCAGAGCTTAAATGGCTAATTAATTATTTCTAAATGATGAGAAAATTGGAACCAAGAAGTGTTATGTTAGCTAAAAAAAAAAAAAAAAGAATAACCAGAATTAAGATGTACATGCACACATTTTATCAACATTTAATTAAAAAAAATTATGTCCACAACCTAATATAAAAATAATTAAAAATCTCGATGCCTGTGGTTTCTTCCTTGTTATCTCAAAAGTCAACGTTTTAGTTCCAAATTTGTGAAACAGGAATAAGACTCAATTCTAGAGGAATAATTGTCCTCTTTTAAATTAGTTGAATTGTAATGAAAGAAGTCCAAAGTCTCACTATGCAATTTAAAAAAAGTTAACATGATCCTACAAAATAAAGTCATAACATTTACAATTCTTGGAAAGGATTCTGAAACTACCTAACTACATGGTCCACTGCCACACAGTATTTTTATATTCAGTACAGTCAAGAAACTTTCTTTCCAAAACAAACAAACAAACAATCAAAATCCAACTTTCTTTCCTTAAAAATCCCCCCTTATAAAATCTACATCATTGTTTAGAAATTTAAAGGAAGAATAAAATGCACATTCTTTCCTAGAAAATAGTAACCTGCTGAATGCCACAATCATTTGAAAAGGATTGGGGATTCCCATCATCAGTAGAACTGTGAACATCTTGGTCATTTGGAGGAAATGTCTTCCCTGACAAGGTCATTTGGCATCTAGTGCACAATTCTGGAGTATGTATCCAGTCAGATTGTCTTGGTCTATCCCGGGGATCAGCTATGGTTTTGTGGCCACCCTGATGAGAACAGAAATGGAAATCATCTCCAGTCTTTATTATCCAGCTTTTCTGCCACACCTCTGTCACTGTGAGTTTACCCGTGACACATTATACATTCTATACCAATGGCAGTTTAACTGAGGGTTGAGAAAAGAACAAGATGGCAAGGTAAGGTTAAGAAATGTCTATTAGCAGAGACAAACTCTGAGATCTTCATGTGTCAAGGAGACTCATGAGTCTCCAGTTACTCTGCAGAGCTGATCAGGTACTATGGGATTCCACTTAGTGTTTGCTCATTTCACCTCTTGTATTCTTTTGGACAGCTATCTTTCATCTAAACTGGTAAGAATCACAGAAGAAATATGTCTTCAGTTAAGATGCCTGGAAATGTTCAAACAGCCTGATCTTTTAAAAACAACTATTCATATTCAAGAGGATGAATAAGGAATTGTGTTCATCTCTCTTTATAACTAGGGTATGGGCTTTGGAATTCAACAAAACTGGGTTCAAATTCTGACTCCGATACTGAGGACCTTGGGAAAGTTATAAAACCTGTGAGTTCCTCCATTTGAGCAGATAAAATAATATAAATCTTATAGAACTGTTATGAGAAGAGAGATAATCAACATAAGGTGCTTGACACAGTGTCTGGTACTTAGTAAATTTCAAATAAATAGAAACTCTTGTTATTTACTGCAAAATGATGACATCTGGTCTCATAAATTAGTACATGCCACATGCTTCAGATAACTGGATCTAGCAATAGAACACTAAATCACAATTTCCTACATCAGGAAATAATTTGGTACCTGATCATTTTTACCATTTTTTTTTTCAGTGCTGGAGATTGAACACAGCACCTCACACATGTTAGGCAATCACTCCACCACTGAGCTACATCCCAGCCCTCATTTCTACCAGTTTTGGTCCTTCTAAGCATTTATTTATTTATTTACTCATTTAGTACCAGGGATAAAACCCATGTTGCTTAACCACTGAGCAACATCTCCAGTCCTTTTTTTATGTTTTATTTTGAGACAGGGTCTTGCTAAGTCCTTAGGGCCTCCCTAAGTTGCTGAGGTTGGTTTTGAACTTGTAATCCTCCTGTCTCAGCCTCCTAGAATTAYAGGTGTACACCGCCACAGATGGCTCTAAGTTTTATTTAATTGCAAAGAATCTGTGTAAAAACCACAGCAGGAGGACTAGGGTTGTATCTCAGTGGTAGAGCACTTGCCTAGCATATGTGAGGCATTGCATATAAACAAACAAACAAACAAATAAATAAATAATATAAAGGTCCAAGGACAACTAAAAAATATTTTTAAAAAAGTAATTAGTTAAAGCAAGACCAGTAAGATTCTGGCACTGCTCTGAAAATACTATGTGCTTTATTTACCAAGAAACAAAATAATGTATCTGTCTGTTCTAATTTAAAAAAAAAAAGAAAGAGAGAGAGAGAGAGAGAGAGAGAGAGAGAGAGAGAGAGAGAGAGAGAAACTTCTGAGAGGTTCTAAATATGTAAGCTTTAATTTTATGGGATTCTTCTCAATGATGGCTTGATAAGAATGACTAGGAACTCCAGTGATATGGTAAGAAAAGCAATTACTGAGTATGGTACTTACTGTGCAAAGTAAAGCATGTTATCATACACATGGAGGACATTAAGAGGTAAAAGTACTACATGTCTTCCATAGAAATTTATAAATTAAGTGATAAGGCATTGATCAGAATATTTAGATCACTTTTTCACAATTTTGGTCCTATAATGGAAACTTATACTAAGATGATGGTTTTATGGTATAGAACTAATGACATGATGCCCTGTGGAACCTAAAACAAACTATAGCTGATTTCAAAAATACCCACTGGGCTGGGGGATGGGGGAAAGCTCAGTGACAGAGCACTTGCCTAGCATGAATCAAGGCCCTGGGTTTATCCCTAGCACCTTTGAAAATGAAAGAAAGAAAGCTTCTCTCATTTCCACTTGCAATGGAAGAGTAGAAGAAAACATTTTTACTCTCACGTGGCAAAAAAAAAAAAAAAAATCTGCTTAAGAGCTAATAAGTGGTTCTGTTAATCATCTTCTCCCTTTTTATTATGAGTCTTAAAGCCAAATCACTGAAGGAATATATGGCATCAGACCTCAGGGGTTTGCTAATCACATCATCTTACTGAATTGTGGTTTTCTGAATCTGTGTTCAGCAAAATGATAGAAAGGAAACATTTCCAAAAGCATTGATTACAAATAATCACGACTTGGGCAGAAGCCTACAGATGTGTTTTCCTCTGAGGCATTCTAGAGACATGAAAACTATGCTCTTAAAATAACTTATAAAATAAGATTACAAGTTATAAACAGAGTCTCAGCACTATCTGGTTTCTGAAAATGAGTTCTGACACCTCAGAGGGGCTTTCCTATGCTTGTTCCATTGGAAAGATCAGGGCTTCTGTTGCTAAACTTGTGCAAAAGCAGTTTGCAGTGGCTGGGACAAGGGCTTTGAAATCAGACAGACCTGTGTGGAGATGCTGGACTCTACCGCTTCCTAACTGAGTGACACCGGGTAAGTTTCATGACCTCTGAGGGTGTGATAACACTTAACTCACAGAGTTTTGAGGATTAAACTGGATAATGTGTTTACAGTCCTTGGCATAGTGGGTGGCTTGTTGTCATCCCCATTGTTGTCATYAGTTATCCTTTGCTGATTTGTGTCTTGGTTGTTCAGAAGCCTGATTCTCAACATTATATGGTACCTCATTAAAATGTAATACTTTTATGTTTTTATCATCAGTAAAAAAAAAAGCTTAAGAATAAAAATCTTTGTACAACATATAGCTCACAGTTGACAAAGAACAAATATTTGCTGCTTATATCCTCAAAAGCAACAAAACTTTGAGAGTGCATCTGCTATTCCCTGAAAAGAATGGCTAATTAAAAACATAACATAACCTCATTACCATCAACTGTAAACCCAAAGACAGAGTAGAATAGATGGACAAAGGGAACGATATGCTGTATAATCTGAAACTAAGATTATACAGTATATCTGTATAATAGGAGACAGAATCTAGCTTAAAGTTTACTCACCAGGAAGAATACCAGCCACTTTACTGGGGAGAATAAGAAGGCTTATAAATTGTATAGATTAACTACTGTTTCAACTCAGCTTTTAATGGAGAGACAACTTATTCCCAAGTCTTCCTCACACTGCCTTCTCAGGTGTCAGATGCTTAATGAGATACATTTGTATATGAAATGGCCTTTCATATAAGGACATATAGACCTCGAGTCCCTCCCAAGGCAAAATGGGAGAAGATTTCTGCCTTCAAAGAGCACGTCCCTGGGTTCCACATTTCCCTTGGCATTTCCTACCTTCTCTAAATGCATCTTATTCAGTCCTTCTGTGTGCTGTTGTACAATGCTTATTCCTCAATTTAAGGAAACAGTTAAAATCTCTTTTTAAAAAATGCAATTCAGGGCACAGATTCATAAACAACCCAATAGGTCTTGGAAGAACTTGTAAGGTAGAGAAAACAGATGGAAAGACAAGAACCAGTTAAAGCTGAAGTAAACTGATAAGGCAGGTTGCTGGGAAATCAAGGTGGTTTTGGTCAGAAGGCAGAGGGTCCTAAGCATGAAAAACCAACTAACACACAAACAAACAAAAAATGAAAGTCATTTTTTACCAGGTATTAAAAAGGCAGCTTTAAGACAACAAAACTTTGAGTAGAATGAGCTGGTCATCAGCCCTAAGAGTCAGGACTGGACAATTCAGGCTGACTCTCCACTAGTACATGTGTCTGGTACAGACTGTCTGCCTTCAGCTGACCCATCTTTCTTCAGTTATGCTGTAAAAAGACTATATCTAGGTGATACCCACATAGTGCTTGAGCTTACTGCTTACTGCCCAGAATTTGGCCTTAATAGGCCACTGTATGCATCTAGTCTGATCCACCCTACATTGAAGGGGTGATGGGGATTCCATGAGTAGCCATTTAGTATGTT